ATATAACTTCAATGAAGTGTTTAGTTCACAGAATTAAAAGTTATAAGTATATTTTGTTATTTAATAACAAGTTATCACATGATTTGTAAGAGTGCTCGATGACCTCTCTCAATTGCTTCAACGGGCGATAGATCTTTGAGTTCTGTTATTAGGTAAAACCTTCGATGACTTCCAAAAATTAATTTTTGGTTACTAAAGAAACACAAAATGGGTTCGTTTGATACTGTTTTATCCTCGCTGAAAGCAACTATACATAATTTGGCAGCAAACGATGAAAATCTCGTAACTATATAAAGGATGCTACTTGGGATTACACTGCAAATAATGCAACAGATAATGACCCAAAGCCGACTTGTGGCTGACTGACGTTTTGTAAAAGACGTTTGCTCTCTCCTTGCTTGTTCTCGTTGAATGCCATATTCATTCAAAATAAGCGTCAATTCAGATTTTGTCTCCTATTAGCTGAGTCGAACCCAGCTGAACAAGGTCGACACACTTTCCCCGGTTTAGCTTCAGATGTGTATCATTGGATACTCGTTTTAAAACTATTAGGACGAAAACGTGTGACTAGGATTGGTTACTGGAGTGTACAGGCCTTGGACAATAAAGGCATAACACGAAAATCTAACAGTGTCAACAAAATAATCTTCTAAGCCGGTAGTCTTAGCGGGTATGGAATAAACACCTGGACTATTAGACCACTAAACAGAAGAGAAGTTTGTTGCAACAAAAGGATTCTAATTTATTTTAAGTTGTTATAATACATGAATGGGTTTAACTTGTTCAAATTCGTCAAATCTTAATCCGTGTTGGAAACATAGTTTTCTTGCAATCAAGACATCGATATGATTCTGTTGTCCGTATCAGCAACGGATTTATCTAAAAAGTTTTGGGAAATGTGAAAAGCGAACCATAGCATAAATTCTTCGGTTTCTTTGTTCATTGTCCGGGAGTTCATATCCACATGATGTTCGCATTTGTTACATGTAGCTGTGTGGATATTGAAATGCTCTTACTTGCACCTGACGCTTACCGGCAGATTTTTGCATAAAAGGCACTGAACTGCCCTTGGATGTAAACTGGATAAAGTTATTAGGATTCAGAAGATTCGAAGCATGGACATGCAAATATCTCAGTTAAGAACAAATTGGTTAAGCTCTAAAAACCAGTTTTACTGAATAGGAAGGGTACATAAGGCACAGCGGGTTGTGAATAAGAATGCTCCGTCTTTGGAACGACATCATGCACTGATTCTTGTTTAGACCAAAGGCAAGGTCAATCAACGTCCCTGAAAAGGGTTCGTTTATTGACTCAGACCCACGTAATTTATTCAACGTTTTCAAGTTACAAAGCTAACAGAACCGAAAATCTGTCATCTTGAGGGTCCTTTGTTTTGTTTTATTCAAGTTATTGCTTTAGTAAACCGCGAGAGCTATACCGCGCGTTATTGCCTCGCTGTAGACTCGGTCAGACGTCAGTTGAGTGGAACAATACCTTGTTTGTATTTCCTGCAATCCACTGGAAGGAGGTAATAACTTTTTAATTTCGGATCAATGTCCTCTCAGTCATCACATGTGACAATCCACTATGTTTGTCAACGCGTCACGACAAGAGATATCAGCCACAAAACAAAGAGAGCTACAATAGACTGCGGTTTCTTGTTAATTGGAAAAATTCCTTGGTCGCAAAAGTTTTCTGCGGTATACGGCGAAAGAAACTGCAATGCACGAACAAGCATGTAAGAAAGTTTTAACTTTATTTGGAGTAAAAACTTATTAACTGTTGTTCCCAAGCGATATACACGGTAGAACGGGTCGCAAATGGGATTCTCAAGACTACGAGAGCAGAAAATACCGTTTGGCTTTATTGGTTCAAATGAGTAAGCTCAATGTACATCTATGATCTTGAATTCAAGAAGTTGCAGAAAAGGTTTAAAGGAAACATTGGCTACATGAAATTGTCTTAAAATGCCAAAAATGATTTGAAATAATTCTTATGTTCAATAAAATTGAAACCAGTCCCGACCAATCCAGAATTTACGTTCTTGGGACACGAAGGGACATAACTCCTCATAATTTCGACGCCCTTCCAATTTAAGTCAACTTTTATTCAGCCATGAAATCGTTTACAATTAAAGATTTAAAGACTTAAGCAATTTTTAAAACTCTCCTGAAAACCTTTACGACAATGTTCCTTTGAATTCCTTTCTCAATGAACTAAAATTTAGGAGAACTTCGGAACGGGTGTGCCTCGGGGGTGCCTCAGAGTAGATGACAGAAAATCTTATAGTTCTCCAAATCAATGACAGCAGTGAAATTTTTTTCCAAGACTAAACTGAAAAATCATCATGTAAGCCAGAGCATTTTAAACAATAAATCGACTTTTCACAAATACTAGAAGAAGATATCAACTTAAAACATCACAGAGTTATGTCAACAGACATGCAGTCTGTTAAACTTGGAAGATATAAAAAAGAAAACAACAACATATAATACAGTTGATTTAACTTTGCCAATTACACAGAAAACATATATTGTGCAACGGCCAGCAACATTGTGTTGATGTGATAGTCAGTAATTACAGATTAATTATTAGCTATAAGTCTTCGCTAAAAGGTTCTTTAGATAATTGCGTCCTTCAGAGAAATCAGGAAGTAACAACTATTGTATTGGAAAAGACACAAGACACGTTACTTGTAAACAAATTCAATTTATTTCATTGATCACAAATGAGATATTAGTGTGGGAAATACATTTTCCATGCTCTCAGAGAAAATACAGGATGCTACATGGAAATTATAGTTCTGAATTAAAGGATAACTCCTCCATTGTACAGTGAAACATTTGTCAATTTATTCTGTATACTACGTGCCGAACTGCAGATGGTTTTAAATTATTCACAGCCAGAAGAAATCTCAAACTTGAATTAAAAAAGAAACGTAGATCAGAATTTTGTCGTTCTCGATTTCCTTCAAATAACTTTAAGATGAATGACAAGAAAATTAAAAAAAGTGTTGTTCTAAAGCTGGTTATATATCTATCGTGCTGTGTTATAAATTGATATATCTACACGCCGTGTTTTTTTGCCGGTGGTGCAGGAAGATTTGTGGTTACAGAGACTCAACATCTTCCATGTTTCACGTTCTTCCCTATCCGTTGGTAAATCGAACCTCGGTGTCGTAACTTCATGACGGTTTCCGTAGTTCGGTTCCTTTCGGAAGGAAACTTAAAAGCTGAAATAGTACCTTCTCAATAGATTCTTTTGTTTCTTGTCGCTCGGCAGAGAGCTCAGTATAAAACTCACAATCTCCTTTTAAAACTCCAATTAAGACAGCTTTTTTTTGGTAATGGACGTTTAAGTTGAACACACAGAGACACAAGCTTACTTCAGGAAAAGAAACCTTTCACTTGTACTTTGCAAAGTGTTTCTAGTTAATTAAAAAAATCTTTGTTAGCTTTTCTCTAGATTAATAGCTAATTAGCAAGCGATAGAGCGAGCCGACAGACAACAAGGATAGTCCCTAAGTATTTGACGAATATAATTTTCTTCTCCATGAGAAGATTAGAAAGTGTACAAAAAACGAAGAAAAGGCTTTTCACTAAGCCACGAGCACTCTAAAACCTAACTGAAATCAGATCGAGTCACTGTTCTAATTTATTTGACCTAATAGGGAAAAGTGAAAACCGTTTTTGTAAACATTACCCGCGCTGTCGGTAGCGGGTCTATGGCTCGGCAAATAATGAATATATTAACAAGTTTGGCGTAAGAAGCATTTCTCACCCGAACAAATTTAATAAAAGCCCAGATTTGCCTTAAAAGTCTAAAGAAAAAATTACCGTGAGTCTTGTTAGAGTTTTCGGAATCGGAAAGTACTTTGTAAATGAGCTATGAATCGCATTTAGCGCAAGTTACAATTTTGAATCTTACAGTTTTTTTCGCAAATCCAAACTCCATTGTGAAGCCAATAATTTAAGAAAACTTCGTGAATGAAACAAATCTGCGGAAGGCGCCAAGACCGAATTTAATAAACTATTTATTGTAGACAACACAAAGCGGTTTCAAAAGGTTCTGTTTACTCGGCACTGTCTTTTATAACGAATTAATCGATACACGAACTTTAATAAAGTTTTGACTTCTCGAAAATTTTGCCTTTGTGCGTTAAACAAACATGCAGAAATCTAATCAGTAAGAAGTGAGAAAACAGGTAACTCCGTGACTTTAAGGCGAAAAAGAAATATCGATCGTCTTCTTTTGACAATTTTATGTCATGAATTTCAATTGTGGTCGATTTTTATCGCCGAATCATTTATCGTCAAACTGTTTGACAAAGGCCTCAATGTACTTGAGTTCACCATTGTAAGCTAGACAAGAGTGACAGAAAAAGCTTCTTGCTAGCTAAAAGTCAAACGGTTTACAAATCAAATCTCAGCATGGCTAATTATAACTCGATGGCTTACTATCAAAGCGTATTAGCTCCACAATAAAGTACTTGAATAAAATTTAATCAACAAATTCTTGTCAAGTTGTTTCGCCTGTTCGTCTTGATACAGTCAACATTATTTACACATTGTTAGGAATACGATACTTTATAAGGCAAGCCTCGACATGGTTTAACGGTGCAGCCTTTCGTTAACGTCAACAATCCAAAAAAGTTACCGAAACATCTCTACGTCAATTGTTTTGCCTTGTGTACCCGACAGAGTTCATTTCGATAAAGATTTCGCGTTTTGAACTTTCCGTGGTTTCCTTTGCTTTTTCACTACTGTGTGACGCAAGGACGTCAATGAAGTGTTCCGGCAGATAATTAGCCAACGGCACCTCACAAAAGGGTCGGCGCCACACACCGCAATTGACATTTGCGAAGTATTTTTCAAACTAAACAATTGAATGCGTTAAAATGTAATTAATATAGATATGAGTTTATTTATTATCAGGCTGTTCTCTGATTGGCTGACGGTACACTGAGCTTCGATGTACAGTTTGTAAAGAAACTCAGTGACGCATAAAGTCACAGTCCCAACTTGGACGTATGCCGGTTGGATCGCGGCCGACCCCATAGTGTGTCAGCAACTTACACAATCAAACCATCCCTAAAGCCTTGTTCAGCGCCTCAGGTGACTTAAAGTTTTTGTGCTGCGGCTGGAAATCATCGTGCAATAAAATTTCAGCACCAAAAATATCCGCGAGTAAGATGAGTTCACCAAGAGATTCGCCCGAGCTGCCGTCCTACGACATCAACAACAATCAACCAAGCAAAGACTTTTCACAAAAGTGTGTAGACTCGCTCGAAGGTAAGATTCTCCTCTCGAGGAAGAAGAACGTAGATTACTTTCCAGGATTCTAGATAACTAAGTTCTAATTAGTTCAGGATTTCTCAGGGATTAAGTGTTAATCTTGCCTGAAACAACAATATGTGTTCTTACTTTTCACAATTGGAAGTGCGAACGTGCTGAACGCAGTGAAATGAGCACTTTTGTCACATTCCAGGAAGACGGAGCGCAGTGTCCTTACGCGCGAAGCGTGTTTTTTCTGCTCTTATTCTCCCCGGAAGGTGCTAATCATTTTATGAATGTTGTTTACGTTTTATCCTGCAGAGACAGCGTCAGTGGATGGCGATGGATCGAAGCAGAAACGAAAACAGCGAAGACAACGAACTCACTTCACCGCCTATCAGCTGCAGGAACTCGAGAAAATGTTTTCAAGGAATCGATATCCTGACATGGCTGTCAGAGAAGAACTCGCTATGTGGACAAGCCTCACAGAAGCACGAGTCAGGGTAAGGTAAATTAAACAAGACAAACACTAGATTCGACCAAGTCGGGGCCGGTAGCTCGCGCGGCAGGGCGACGTCTTAGTTGGGTGATGCTAAATAATTGAAGCGCAACCAAATTATCAAACGTTTGGCACGATGCACGACAAACGCCTGCAGATTTTCACATGGAAACTCATATATTTCCCGCACAATGAGATCGTTTTTTTATCATTATATTGCTAAGCTTACAAGGAATATGGCTGTTTGTTTGCACAAAAACAAGCGCCACTTAAGTCTGGCATTTTGAATACGGAATGAAAAAAGCGAACAGTGTAGTTGTCCTTGTGCTCGACGCGTGAATTATTTACAATACCACAAAATAACCTGGACCTTATTCAACTAATGGTACCGCCTTGAGGCAGATTCTCTGAAGGTTTCAGTTCTCTCAGTTGGATCCATAAAATCTCTTTGATCGCGAGTAGAACCAGTAAATTGGGATTAGAATCACTTTAAAGTCTCAAATATCGTCAAGATGTTTGCTTTTTTAATGCATTTCTTCAAAATGTATTTCCGTGCAATTACATTGTTTACCTCAGGCTTCGTCAAACCGTTTCAAAAGCACCTGGTTGTCAACAGTTCAAGTCGCTGCTCGAAACTCGTCAATTCCTCTTCATAACAAGTTCAAAAGACAGCAAGAAGCTAAAAATCTCGTGCCTAGTATTTTCATCAGCCTTCTTAAGCCTTTTTTGTCCCGTTAAATCTTTCGTACCACCTAGATGATAGATCTGGAAAGCTTTCAGTGTTAACACCTTTGCAAATACCTGAATACCAACTGTACCTGTATTGTGGCTATTAGCAGAAGCAGGTGAATTTTCTGAAATGGTTGAGGGAAACATTAACAACGGGTAAAATTTGCTCGCATTTCATAAGACTCAGAATCTTTCAAATTGTCGATACAAGAGCCAGATATAACATCCGGTGTCTCTAAAACTTTAATGGCTGTTTGCTGCTCCCTGCCCTCGTCTTTTCATATTGAAAGCAGCCTAATAACAAACTCAAACGTGTGAAAAAAACTTGTTGGGATTCATTCCACTTTTCACACTTAGCTTCGAAGGATAAAAGCATAGTCTTAACTGGGCTTTCATAAACACTAGTTCGTCGACATTTTAGTCTGGTCTTTTTTAGCTTCTCTTAATGTTTTGTACTTAGACTCTGGTTTTGATAACATTAAAAACTTTTATCTCTCACGGCCATTTGTTTTTCAAGGAGAAGGGAAGTTTGATTTTTAAATAGACCATTAAAAATGTTAAAAGCTTTGTGCTTGTATCGAATTTCAGTAACGACGATATTCACAAACACTCAATACTGCAATTTATCATCACATTATTTATTAGATTGTGCATCACTTTTCATCGGCTAATGTGCCTGTAGATCGTCCTACACGTAATGTTGGAAGACAAACAAATAGATGTGACACATATATTATTTTCTTTCTATTAGGTGTGGTTCAAAAACCGTCGAGCAAAATGGCGCAAAAAGGAGAAAAATAACCCGCCGAATATCCTCGGGCAGGAAAAAAACAGCAGCATTATTCAGAGTGTGAATGGATTTAGTTTTGATACCATAGGTTCTATGCGCTACGACAGCTCGGAAACCACGCCGTCAGTGTATCCAAACTATGGTGCGAACTACTGGAGCAAGGGAGGACCGAGTATTGGCTACAGCTCCTTACAGCAGACTGGCAACACTTTGGGGTACAATTCACAGTTTCAGATACCTTCACCATGCCCGGTTCCACCGCAAATATCGGGATCGTTGAGTCCATTTTCAACTCCGATATCGAGCGAGAATAGTTCAACTTACGCCCCAAACTCATCCAGTGTGCCAAGTATGCCCTGTGGATATCCACCAACTTACGGTTACCAGGAACAAACTTCGGTTTATTTAAAAGGTAAAGGCTCGTCGCTAAACCACTACCCGAACTATTCTCAGTCGAATCCTTACAGTCCATATCCTTACGGGATGGCCGAAATACCGATTAATATTTAGCGTTAACAAACAATGCCTGTCAATGGAGTTACTTAAAGGACTACACAGAGAAAAGAAGTTTTAAAAACACTCTTTTAAAGATGCCTTTCGTTCGAAAAGCAGTTGCTAGAAGCAGAACAGTTTGAACTGATTTGATTCTTCAGTTTGATTCTAGGTTTAAAACCGACATTAGCACTAAAACGTAATTAAAAAGCGAAAACGATCTTTTGAAGTTAATAGATGCAATCTAGTTGAGCTCGGGTGTTGTGTAGTCAATGCTGAATACATTTTATTTAAAGGTTTTAGTTACAAGATTCAATGTATTTAAAGTAGTTATAGAAAAGATCGTCGTGTCAGTTTTTAGACAAGCAAAGTGTTAAAAAGTTTCTGAAATTATAAATGAAGGTTAGATTTCCCTGAAATTTTTTCTAATAGTTTAGAATGTAATATTGTTCAACAGTCTCTGCTAGACACTTTCATGGATCACGCTTCAACGACATTCAAATTTTTCTATTGTTCCTGGCAGACTCTCGGCGCATAATCATTTTGGACGAAACGAACACGACTTCGCGTATATTTTCCAAAGTTAATTCGCGTAAATCTATCGCCTCATTCAGTTAAGAACGGTTTGATACAAGATATAAGCGTTTCCTAATAATGGTTTTGTCTCAGGCCCGTGTATTTCTCGCGTCTTAATCCCGGAGTACATTGACTAAGTTATTAAGGTAATATCAAACTATTCTTGTATAAGGCGATGAACTGTTGAAAAGTGCTAACTCAAATGAATAAGTCTTTCCTTTTAATCTCAGCTGTGAGAAGTCACAACTTACAAGCGTTTACAAGAGACACGCCCGAGTTACCATAACAAGCACTTTGGAAAAGTGCACCCCCATAAAACAGAAAAATCTCGCGACGCACTAGAGCATAATATTTTTAATTTACGACGCCAATTGCATAAACCCGAACAGTATACAATGTTTGAATGCAATCTCTAGAGGCCGTGTTGTTTTGCCCTGGGAATTTTCAGCTGTATTTAAGTTTACACAGTCAATAAAAGGCTAAATGTTGTGCGCAGTCTTTGTGTGGTAATTCAGTCTTTTCACATACATAGACAAAAGAGAGAGCTCCATTGTACGTGTGTCTTCAGCCATAAAAGAGACCGCTCGAAAGCGCTTCGGTTCCCAGGGATTTTTTATGACCACCTGAGTTTTACTATGAAACCGAAAAATTTACGAAAAAAAAAACTCAGTTTATCTTTGAATTTTAAGTTTTTCTTTCCAAGAAATGCATCTAAAATGAACACAGGAAAATGCAAATTGGCTAGACTTCTTTTCAAAATAGCTGTTTAAAAATTCAATTGACTATGAATGTCAAAAAAAGCGATAAAAAAACGCAGTTTGCCGGACGCGAAAGGATGCGACTAAATAGGCCCATTACATTGATGTATCTGATGAAATAAGATAAATACACCGTAAATTGTCAACAAAACGTCTTTATGCCAAGAAATAAATTGCATGCAACTTACGGAGATGAATCTTGCACGGAATCGCTCGATATTTTTAAGCGCGAGACAAGAAGTTTGACAAGCATTATTGAAATATACAATGAACAAACCAAAGACCTGTCTCGCTTTTCCTCTTGGCTACACAAGAACAAAACTACGGAATCTTTCAATACACAGGTTTTCTTTTTGAATCGTTTTGAGCTCGTCTTTGTTTATTAAAAGTTGACAAGGTCCGCGCGTAGTTATCAATTCTTGTCATCTTTAGGGTTAATTTACGGCGCAATTTCCAGGAAGGAATCAACGGAAAACTGATCACCTTTGCAACGATTGTATTCATTTGTCTGCCTCTAAAACCGCGATATACATATATTTTTTCTATTCGTATCAGATTCACTCGGAAAAGATTTGTACAAATGATTCCTGATAATTTAGATATTGCAAAGAAATCTTGTAGTGGCTTCACTTTAATTGCTTTTTGGAAGGCGGTTTTCTTAGGTTTTCTAATATACTTTTCCTTTGAAAAACCTTTAATATCTTTGTTGGTCGATACAGAAGTACCGCCATTGTGTGGCAATTATTTCATGTTTTCGGCTATATTTCCGCTACCTATGGCAAAAATACAATGGCTTGTGATCATACACATCTGTCCTACTATGGAAATAAGCATTTTCATCACACACTTTCAATCACCCATTATGCGCATCGTGGAAATAGGAATCACCGGAGGCAGTTTTGAAAATGAACCCAACACCTATGGTGTGAGAAAAAAATCGCTGTTTAAACAAAAAAGCTTTACCGAACTGGTTGAAATTTGGTTAACGAAGTAAATATATGTACTATTTGCCAATCTTATATTTAACAAGACCTCAAATGGTGTTAATGGTGATTACGAAAATAAAAATAACTCAATAATACATAACAATATTTAAATTTCCTGACGATTTGAGGCGCAAGCATTTCTTCTTGTTTTTAATAAACACACGAAAATCCACTTCTCTCAGATAATATTACACTTCGAAGTTTCCTCACTATTCGCTTGTGTTCAATTCCATATTCTCTGAAACCAAGAAATACTCAATATTTCGCTCAGTTGTTTATTATGTCAGTTTCTCGTTTAGTTTTAGACTATCAGTGAACCATCATCTCAGAAAATCTCCGCTGATATATCGATGTATCAGCGCAACAAAAGTATTCATCGTTTGAATATATGTACAAATGTATTTGTGTGGGAATAGTTTTTAAAATAAAAATTTTCATGTTTTTTACAGGATGTACATGATACGGAGTACATCAGAGAGAACAGCTTGGATAACGCAAACACATTATCTGGAAATGTTTTTTGGCCCTGGTTTTATTTTGCTTTGTTTGCAAAGATAATTTTCAAGAGTATTCGGCTCTATATTTCACACGAAGGATGGCTTTAATTTTTTTTTCGCATCAATATGAAAGTGGATAATGACGAATGCTATCGGAATACATATAGAAAAATGTTACATATCTAATGCACAAAATAATACAAGAGGCTTAGAGCTGTTATATTAAAAGCCAGCTGAGTTTTGCCCGGAAAAAAGTTTCCGCGGAGCTTGATGATTCAGTCGGCAAACGCTACTTGTTAATTACTGGACGCTTACCAAACCCTGCCTGAAATACAAAGAGTCACTTGAAAATGAACCGAAAAAAATCATCTGTTGTTTTTTCTCTTAATGTATCTGGATAAAATGTATATTGTTATTTTTTTAACAAATACTGTTTGTAAGGGGCCCAATTAACATCCTTACTCTCGACCGCTTGCAAGTACTTTGAGTCTGAAATAGTTGGTGGGTTAAGAAAAACAACAAATATACATATTTATTCAAAACCGAAATTTATCGGATTTCATGCTCTGCGAACATATTCCGTCGAAAAAGCTAACGAGCGACACCCTTATTTTTAAAGATTTTCAGGTGCATGCATTTTTCCTGGTGTAAATCCTGGTCTTCAAAAGCACCATCCGATGTCAATTATGTATGTAGTTCATAACTTTACCAAAATGTGAACTTATTTCTTAATCAACTACTTAATTTATACGTATAAACGTAACGTTTAGTAATACCATCTTATTCCGACCAGATTTAGCTGTTAACTCAATACTCAAGAGGTGTAATTATTCACAAAGGACGCATCACTTGCAAGTTGAAATCCTCCTAATATTACATTTTTTTCGTTTATTGACACATACGAACAATAGCGCACAACAAGGAACCACAGTGTTCCCGATAACGATGATGTGTCGTCAAGGTAGTTAAAAAAAACCTCCATACGTTTAAGGAAACGTAGGACGGTGAAAATTTATGAAAGATAGGCTTCCTCTATCCATATGAAACTTGACATGATAAACGGCGTGCGGAAAATTTTGTCATTATCTGCTTTGACAGTGTACTTGTCACTTCTTGAAATCTCAGCAAGAAAATTTTTTTCTCAAACAAGCGTTGTCTGATTGAGTTTTCCTTGACAGCCACGTTTATTCGAAGTCCGTAACCCACATTACGTGCAAACGACAAAACTCTATTTTAAATGCTAATGAACTATTGTAATTTTCAAAAAAGTCTTTTACGGCGCCTTGGACCCCCACCCACAGAGGTTGGGTATGATATGAACCGCAAGTCAATCAACCTTGTCGTTTTAATTTACCGCACGAAAGAGCTGCCTTCATGTTACTTTTACCGTTGAAAATATCAGAAATAAAGAAAGTCAAGCAAAAGCAAGTTATAGTAGGGCTTGTAAACGTAAACGAAGTTAAAGAGAATTGCAAACATGTTAGAAGCGGTACTGCAGCTCGGAAAAATTAACAACCTTCAAAAACATATTTCCGTGATAACGGGCTTGGTCGTTAGAGTGATCGTTTGTTTTCAATTTTCCTCATCTTTCAGGCCTAAATCTGGAAATTTTTTTCCTTAAGGCGGTCTTCCACGTTGTTTACCTTTTCGGTTAAGATATTTCACGATTGAGCCAGTGATGCTGGGTCAGTTTGAAATGTTCCTCCATGACCTCTTGTAAAACTAGTTTGAGGGCATGGTTTCGTTGCTCGACGACGCTGCATTAACAATCATATTGAAAACAAAACAATGAAAAGAAACTGGTATTCTCTGAAAGCGTACTTGAATCATTCAAGTGAAGAATCCATTAAGAATGAAAGCACTTAACAGCTATTTTTTTCCAGATAGTAACACAGTAGCCTTCACTCGCATAAAACTACACGATAAACGTATCGTGTCGGGATTTTTGTACCCCCCCCAAATTATGTAATTTTTTTATATATAACTACTCACTCTCTCTTGCCTGGGCAGAATTGTCAAGCAGCACTCCTAAGGATTTTAAAATGAAAGTAGTCTGACAAATGGTACTTTTTTTAATGATCCCGCATGCTTTCCGAGACGGAACTTGAAAACTTTTTCTTTTTTCCTAAAAACGAATTGCTGGCTGTTTGGTACCCTGAGAAAAGCGCAGAGATGTTTTTGAAACTCCTGTGTTTCACTTGCTCTTCAACACCGACTTTATTTCTAAACCCATTCTCATTGCTTTTAATAGAAAAACATACTATTCGGTTCTGAAGAGGTAAACCAAGCGTTTACTCGTCAAATGCATGGTGTTACAAACGAGGTTGTCTCTCAGCAGTCTTGCCCCTAGTAGTTGGAGAAGGATACGTAAAAGGATAAACAACCTCAAGTATTTTAAATGTTTTTCTTTAAAGTGATTTCCCATGCTTTCTAGAGCACTGGACCAAATTGGTTTCATAAGATCCATTCCAAGTCACTGGAAATAAAGAAGCTCTTAAAGACAGGATAATTAAAGGCGTAAATAGTTGTTTATGTTTTTCCCTTTCACTTCAGCCTACATTTTTCACAGACAAGCGAGCTGAACGGAAAATGTTTGGCAAGAGTAATTGTTTGCAATAGCTTCCAGTCATCATGGTTACTATGACGACGATCCACTTCCCAATGTTTTTAGCATTCACTGCTAACACTATAAGTCGATCAGTTATAAAAAAATAAAAGAACCTAAGTGTTTTGTTTATGAGTTTGTTGTCTTAAATAGAATAAATCGTAAGTTAAGGCCTTAATTTTTATTACTATCATTCACGAAATAATCATTTGATGGTGACGTGTGTAAATACAAGTATATACCGGATATAACTACTCGTACCTAAATTTTCAATTTTGCAGAAAAATTGTCTTCAAGCGAAAGTTTTGAGCGATTGGTTTCAGAGATAAATTATGAAGCTGCACTTCTAAAATAAGCCATTTTTTCATATGCAGTGGCTGCTCGAGTGCAAGGATTGGTAAAAACAGAAACGCGAGTGTGCGTATGGAGAAAGACTACATAAAGAGTCATGATGCCGTTAGGGACAAAAGAGTAAAATGGGATTTGCAATTTTTGCTTTTTGATTTGACGTTTTTGTCTTTGTTCGCTGACTTTTGCTCTGTCTTTTGTCTTTTTTGAATAGCTTTTTTGGTATGTTTTCTTTTTGTCCCTTTCTAAGAGGATCTAAGAGTGAGGAACAGAGAAAGAAAAAAAAACAATTTGAAGTGGG